AGAGTTTTTCTGAGAAATCAATCCCCTGCTTCCCCCATTCTCAGCCATGTGAATTCTGTGGGATTGACCCCAGCCCCGGTTCACAGGATGGCATTTTCTTGCCATAGAGCGGGGCACATTCTAGAGCAGCGGTTCTCAACCTGTGGGTCGCAAACAATGTAAGACCATCCTGCATCTCAGATATTTACATGACGATTCATAGCAGTAGCAACATGACAGTTATGAAGTAGCAACGAGAATAATTTTATGGTTGGGTCACAACACGAGGAACTGTACTTAAAGGGCCAGAAGGTTGAGAACCACTGCTCTAGAGCCGTTAAGCCCAAGAAAGGTAGCAAATCAGACTCCCGGCGTTCTGCGCCCGTGTCGCGGCTGCTCTGACCGGGGCTGCGGCCTGTCGTGCGATGCTGGCCCCGCACACCGGCCCTCACTGCGTGTCGTCTTCTGTTGAAGATCCTCTTTGGCAAGCTGAAGCTGCACCTGCTGAGCCCCACGGAGACGCTTCCCAAGACGGGGCTGCGAGGCCACCTGTCCACATCCGAAGCCGTGGTAAGGCTCAAAACCACCCCCTTCTTCCGAAACAAGGCATGTCTGCGCCCCGTGGGCTCACTCCCAGCCCGCCCGCTGCCTGTGGCGGGACGGCCAGCACCAGGCCCAGCAGGAGGTGGTGGTCACGCTCCCGCCCAAGGGTGTTGCCTTCAAGTTACGAACCCAGGAGCAGGGGCAGTGGGGCCAGTTTCCAGAGCAAACCATTGGCTTGATTCCCCCGCAGGACAGTCGGTCGATGTTTGCTCTGAAAACCAAGTTCTTGGCCCAGGCCAGCCCCTGTTTCCCTGCCGACACCCCCACCAGAGGGTCCACTTGTGGGCATGGAACCTAGACTGACACGACCTCATCACCCAGAGGGCACAGCGTGCAGAGGGCTCGCCCTGGTGCTGTACGCCCTGGGGGTCCGGACAAGTGTGTAATGGCATTATCCATCCTCACACTCACACAGCGGTGTCATGCCCTGGAGGTCCTCTGTGCTCCGCCTGTTCCTCCCTCCAGCCCCTGATCCGTTCACTGTCCCCATCGTGTCGTCTTCCTGAGACTGTCTTATACCTGGGATCACACAGTGTGGGGCCTTCTCAGATGGTCTGTCACTTAGTCACGGGCACTGAAGGTTCCTCCACGTCTGTTCCTGGCTCGATCGCTCATTTCTCTTCAGTCTGAGTACTCTTCCTTGTCTGGGTGTAGCAGCTGCTTTTTCCCATCGTCTACGGAGGGACATCTTGGCTGCCTCCAGCTTTTGGCACTAAAGCTTTTAAACATCGGTGTGCAGGGTTTTGTGTGGACATAAGTTTCCACCTCCTTTGGGTAAATACCAGGGAGTGGGGTGACTGGATTGTATGGCAAGAGTTCGTTTAGTTTTGTAAGAAACCCTCACTGTCCTCCAAAGTCACAGCACCATCTCCTACTGAGCAGCACAGTGCGGTCCTGCGGCCCGTCCCGCCGGCACTGGCACGGGTCTGAGAGGCCCACGGTGCGTCGTGTCGCTGGTGGAGCACGAGGAGGCTCCTGATGGGCTGTCGCTGTGTGTGGGGACCCATGTCTCCACAGTCTGCGTGATGGCCATGAGGATGGGGCCGAGCAGTGCATTTTCAGAGCGTTTTCAGGACAGAAAGAAACATCTATGAGTGTGAGCAAAAGTCAGGAATGTGGGGTGACCCCTGGCTTCCTTAGTTCTGCACCTGAGCAGAGATGGCCACCACTCGGGAGACTGGGAGGGGAGCAGTTTTAGGTGGTGGTGGGGGCATGGAGTAAAGGGCCCCGTGTTGGACATGTTAAGACAGACGTGTTCATGAGCCATTGGCACAGAGTTGCCGCACCACAGCTGGGGCTGTGAGGAAAAGTCTGCGCTAGAGACACGTGCGCGGAGGCAGTCAGCCGATCTGGATTGACGTCGCCGGTCCTCCTGCCGCACAGGAGCTTTGCAGAAACCCCTGTCCCGGCCACGACCAAGCCGTGGAGTCGGAGCCTGCGGCAGGCGGCCGGTCACGAAGCGCTCCTGACGCTAAGCAGCAGCATTGATAACCAGGGACCTGCGCTCAGAAATGCCCGTGAGGCCCTGACCAGTGTGGCTCAGTGGATGGAGCGTCGGCCTGCAGACCGAAGGGTCTCAGGTTCCATTCCGGTCAAGGGCATGCACCTTGGTTATGGGCACATACCCAGTGGGGGGCGTGCAGGAGGCAGCTGATCGATGTTTCTCTCATCGATGTTTCTAACTCTCTATCCCTCTCCCTTCCTCTCTGTAAAAAATCAATAAAATATTAAAAAAAAAAAAAGAAAGAAATGCCCGTGAGGAGCGGGAGAGAGGAGGTGCCCACAGGTGGCCGCAGGGAGAGGGGATGAGAAGAGTGTGGGGCCAGGAGCCAGCGGAGTGTTTGATGGAGCCCGCAGAGCAGCAGGCGCTGTGGCCTCTGCCCAGATCACTGACCAACTCCGGTCCGGCGTTATCCAGGTTAGGAGATCAAACACTTCATTCTTTTCGGAGTTCTCGGGGCCTCTTCTCGATGCGCAGGCCACTGTGCTCAGAAAGCTCTCTTGTTTTTGCCAGCCTGGTGTCCTGCTCCCCTGCCTTCCGTGGGTGCAGCCTCGAGGTCAAAGGGCAGAACGCGAGCTCCTGGGTCGGAGCCAGGAGCGTCATTGGATCTGAGATCGTGCTTGGCTACCTGGCCCGGCTTGGGCAAGAGCTGGGCCGAATTTGCTCAGGGACCTGCTTGCCCCTATGGGCGGGAGTAAGAAAAGGACCAAGAAGGGAAGGGAATGCCCTGTGGTCACATGGGGTTGCCACAGGGCACAGAGGCCTAGCCCCCCTGCCTGGGGCTGGGGCTTCATGTGCGCTCAGGAACCACTTTTGATACTGCCTTTCGTCCAGTCGGGGTGCTGACTGGGAGTCCCACCCACTCCGCCCCTCCACCCTTCCAGTGGTGTCTGCCATCTCTGCTGCAGTTGTGCCTGAAGGAGCATGCCCCCGCTGCTGCAGGGCTCCTCCACGCCCCCTGGCCTCCTAAGAGTTCAGCTCATCAAGCGGATTAAAGTCTTTCTGTTCCCCGCCCCCAAAAAAAAGAAAAAAAAAGAAAGAAAGAAAGCTCTCTTGTGAGTCAGGCATCAGGGCGAGGAGAGCGAGTCGATGGGAAGCAGTGTTTTTGGCTGAGTATTTTCATCTCCCCGAGGAGCAGCTTTTCTAAGAAAAGGGCAGCTGGGAGATACTGAGTCGGGACCCTCCCCGGCAGTGCCAGCTCTCGGGCCGGGACTGTTCATGTCCCCGCCCTCAGTCTTCCTGCAGACACACACTTCCAGGCCACACTACGACAGAGTCAGCACCAGTCCCCAGACTAGTTCACAAATTCAAAATGATCCTCATGAAGCCTGGGCAGGCGGTTTTTGTAGAAATCGGCAAGCTGATTCCCGGATTTAAAGAAAAATGCAAAAACTAAGAACCGAGGTAATCTTGGAAGATAGAGCACTATTGGAAGATTGAGTCTGTTGGATGCAAGACTAACCACATAGCAATGGAAATTGCCAGGATTTAATTTGTGATCCGTACAGGGTGGTGTCGATTCAAGGGTAAACGAACAGACCGCGGGCGGGCGGGTGGAGAAGCCCCAAGCAGGCGCCCCTGGGCGTGTGAACCCCTGACCTCGGAAGCTGCGCTGCAAAGCCCTGAGCAGGAGGTAGCCAGTAAATGATCAGGCCCAGTGCCTCTGGGCCCTGCTTCACATCCTCCACGGGAGGAAATGCCAAGTGAAGGTGCACCCACAGGTGCAAGGAACAGCAGTGAAGGCTGTGGAGATACCATGGAGAATATCGTCAAGACCTGATGTAGGAGACATTCTAGACAGGACACAAATGCATGACCGTAAAGACGGAGGTCGACACATTGGACGACAGTGGAATGAAGGCCCTCTGTTCAGGAAGAGACGCCACTAACCAAGAGGAAGGGAGAGCCTCACAGAAGGCGCTTCCAGTTCATAGGAAAGAGCCCGTCCAGGCAGCGGGTGCCCACAGTCCAGGAGGAACAGGCACCGCGGTTTCCCCGTGGGCCGAGGCCACGCACAGGACCCTGGCAGAAGAGGTGCAGTCAGTAAACACCGCGTGCTGTTCGGCCGTCTCAGTCACCGGGGCATACGCACCAGCAGCCCAGTGAGACGTCGCTCACGTCACCAGGACAGCGGGGATGAGGACAGGGCAACACGTGTTACCCGAGATGCGGGCATGGGCTCCCGGGTGTGATGAACTGCTGGACGGTCCCCGCTGCAGGTGGCCCCGCGCCCGGCGCCCTCAGGCCTCCTCACATGTGCATCCAACAGCTGCACGTCGTTCCCAACACTGCACCGTATGCCCACCGCGGCCTGATGTGGGAAAACCACATACCCATCCGTGGTGGAGGGAGAAGTCGTTGACCTGCGTTCAAACAATCAGCATTACACGTTCACGGCATAGTCTTCCCACGGCAGCATGGTGAGCCGTAAGCCATCACGCTGACCACAGAAGCCGCACACACAGAGAACCTGCCCTGCCCTGAACTGACACAAAGTTCAAAAGCTGGGAACAGTGGCCTGGAGGGTAGAGGCCAGGCTGGTGGGGGCAGGGGCCTGAGTGTTCCCTCTGGGCGAGCCCAGGTGTGTTCACTTTGTGATACTTCAACAAATCGTGTTCTTATGAGCTTGGACTCTGCTGTATATTTTTGACTTTTTATATTTTGACTTTTTTAAATTAATTTGAAAATCCTTAATCATATTCCGATGTTACCTCCCTGACTTCGTGCCCAGCCCCCTGCGATTCAGGTGTTGGGTGTTCCTGAACGATCAAGTTACACGTTTGTAGGCATTTCCCCAGTTTTCTCTGCCATGAGGAAGAATCGCTGATTGGCTGCCTCCTGTACACCCTCACTGGGCATGGAGCCCGCAACCCAGGCATATGCCTTCGACTGGAATCGAACCCGGGACCCTTCAGTCCGCAGGCTGACACTCCATCCACTGAGCCACACCAGCCAGGGCTGCCATGTGATATTTTTAACCCAGGTTCGATTCCGGTCAAGGGCATGTACCTGGGTTGCGGGCACATCCCCAGTGGGAGATGTGCAGGAGGCAGCTGATCGATGTTTCTCATCTATGTTTCTGGCTCTCTATCTCTCTCCCTTCCTCTCTGTAAAAAAAAATCAATAAAATATATTTTTTAAAAAATCGATTTTTAGAGAGAGGAAGGGAGAGAGAGAGAATGAGAGGGACATTGATGTGAGAAGCATCAATCCGTTGCCTCCCGTTCGCAGCTGGACCAGGATAGACCAGATTTGTGCCCAGACCCGGAGTCACCGTCGCCTTTTGGTGCCAGGACGACACTCCAGGCAGCTGAGCCACACTCGCCATGTGGTGTCTTAGGCGCCCTGGCTGTGGAGTCGCTCATCGAAACCTCGTCCCGCTCTCGCGAAATGCCCTAGGCGCCACAAGGACAGATTTGTCAGGGATGGAGGCCAGGGCGCCTGCTGAGCTGAGTTGCTTATGCATCTTCATTTTGGAAAATATGCTCAATGGAGACCATTTTCTTTAGGGCTTTCTCTGGCTGAAAATAAGTGTCTGGAATGTTAAGCTTCCATGAATGACTCTGTTAATAATATTCACTCTCATTTTTCAGTTAACTGCTCTGCAAGCCCTCCACCCATTACCCAAGGTCATTTTGGAATACAGGCAGGTAAGTTAATTTTTCAGTAAGTTGGTGACGAAGGGGAAGCTTCTGGCACCGGCTCTGTTGATGGAAATCCAGTCGCTGAGGCACCCCGACGAGGCCCTGAAGGGAATGGAGTCGTTCAAGTTGACCCGTGTTGGCACGGCTCGCTGGCACCCTGACGTGGTGTCACCCCACCTACAGTCAGCCCCTCTCAGCATTGAGGGCCTGGCGAACACTCAGAAGGAAGGAGTTGGTGTGTCTGTGACGGTGTGACGTGCCCTCCGTCAGTACCGTGTGTGGAAGCCGCCTCCGTGCCCGGGGCAGACCCGGTGCGTGGCTCCGCGCCGCGTTTTACGTCTGCGTTCACTTTCACTGGTCACTGACACGCCCCTCCCTTCCAGCTGCCCTGGTTCTCTGCTCCTGCACCTGCCAGCAGTTCTGTTGTCCTTGAACCACATGTAGCACTCACATTGCTAGTACCATCCGGTTTTTTTGTGACATTTTTAATAGATTTTTATTGATTTCAGAGAGGAAGAGAGAGAGAGAGAGAGAAACATCAATGATGAGAGAGAATCATTGGTCGGTGGCCCCCTGCACACCCCTGGCCCATAGTTCGATGCTCAACCACTGAACCACGCCCACCAGGCAGTACCATCGGTTTTTTACTTACTGAGCCCATGGCCTGCTCTCTGCCAGGACTGGGCAGCTGCTAGAGAGCAGGGGGTCACAACTGCCCTTGTCCTTGAAGTAATGGAAGGACTGAAGGAGGACTGAGAGGGCACCACGGGGCACAGGGTGACGGGCAGGAGCGCACCTGATCCTCATCACTTTCCTGTGAGAGCATGGCTCTAGAATAACAAATACCTATAGAAAGGGGGGTGACCCCTTCTCAGCAGGTCGCTGTGGTTTAATTCTGGCCACAAGGCCACTCTGGGGTCCTGGGTCGTCTTGGTGACACGCGGCGCTGGCGCTCGCTCCTGTTGAACGACTTCAACAAAGAAGGTGGCGCTTCTTGTCTCTGTAACAGGTTCACAAGATCAAGTCGACCTTTGTGGACGGGCTGCTCGCCTGCGTTAAAGAGGTACCGGGGCTGGAGCGTGAGGAATGTGGGTGCCTGTGAGTTCAGACGGTGTGGAGGCTCTTAGAGTTGGGTTGATGGTGAAATCCTATATAATAAAAGGCTAATATGCAAATTGACCGAACAAAGGAATGACTGGTTGCTATGATGTGCACTGACCACCAGGGGGAAGATGCTCAATACAGGAGCTGCCCCCTAGTGGTCAGTGTGCCAGGAGCCGGGCTCATGGCTGGCGAGCGCAGTGGCGGTGGTGGGAGCCTCTCCTGCCTCCGTGGCAGCGCTAAGAATGTCCAACTGTGAGAAGAGAAGGTGCAGGCTGGACTGAGGGACACCACGACCACCACCACCACCACCACCACCCCCCTGCACAAATTTCATGCACTGGGCCTCTAGTAGTCTAATAAACTGGAGTGTGAGCCGCGATTGTGCTGGGACTCAGGCCTCTTTAGGAGGCACCGTTCCCAGGAGTGGGGCCCAGGAGGCCCGGCTGCCAACCCCACACCCTCCCACGTGTGGCTGCAGCTCCCTTCGTGGTCTGCACTCAGTATGTCCTGTCACTCATCTGAGGCCACACAGCTTGTGCGGGATGCACAGCCTCCCTCGGGCCCGCCTTGAGCCCCTCGGCCCTCTCCCCACGCACAGGGTTCTTAAGTAACTCGGAGACCCGCAGTCCTGCTGCAGTTTCCCAGGGGTGAGGGGACATCTTGACCACAGTCGGCAGCTTCTGACCCCAGGAGTCGGGCGGGGTAGGGCCTCTGGAGGAACAGGGGGTGCTGTCTGCAGGGGAGGCGCCGAAGGGCGCAGCGCGCGCTCGACTTCACGTGGCATGGCCAGGGCTCACCCCGATTCCTTCTGGTAAAGGGCGCCATCTCCTCCACGTGGAACCAGACGGGGACAGTGACCGGAAGGCTCTCCGCCAAGCACCCGGTAGGTTAGCTCCTTGCCGGACACCAGTTTCTGTTTCTAAGAGGGGCCCCCAGGATGACAGAGTGGTTGTGTTTACCGCACCCCCATACGCTTAGAGCGGATTTTCTTCTGTTTATTCACTCAGCTGTTTATTTAGCACCTACTATGTGTTGGGAACGTAGTGGGGGACAAGGCATGTGGTCGTTCGGTCGTGAAGTGTTGAGCTAGTGAGAGGCTCTCCTACCCAGAGAGTCATTCTCTCGGACACGGACACCCCGTCCCACCCCTTCGTTTTCAGGTTTGTACTGACCAGGTGGCTCCCGGTTCCCAGGACCTGGCTGCAGTGGCTGATGCGCTGAGGCCCCGCCCACCTTGTGGTGCGAGGCTGCCTCTGAGGATTTGGGATGCAGGCTTAGTAGCACGGAAAGCAATTCGCTGTTTAAATGGCTTTATGTTTGTGAATTACAGACAGCTCGTTACTGATTTCTCATTACAGGAAGTTCCTTAGGCACAGAAAAGAATGTAGAAAACCCTAACGAATGCCCCTTGTGTTCCAGCCGCAGAGTTAGCTGTGCTGCCATTTGGTGTCTGTCCTTCCAGAATCTTTGCTGAGCACATGTATTTATAAAATGCAACTTTTCTACAAAAACAAAACTATGCTTTGCCCTCGCCAGCTTGGCTCAGTGGATAGAACATCAGCCTGAGGACCAAAGGGCCCGGGTTAGATTCCGGTCAAGGGCACGTACCTGGGTTGCAGGCTCCTCCCCAGCCCAGGCCCTGGTTGGGGCTCGTGCAGGAGGCAACCCATTGATATTTCTCTCATATCAATGTTTCTCTCTGTCTTTCCCCCTCTCTTCCACTTGCTCTAAAAATAATAATAATAAAAAAAATAAAACTATGTTTTTATTTTATGCCTTTTCATTTTATTTAAGAAGTCTTGATATTATATACCAATATTTACCTGGATCTATATTTAAATTTAAATAATTGAATTATTTAAGAATATATCAATTAAATATGTGAGTTATTTCAATATACACTATAACATGACTGGGTGGCTCAGTGGTTGAGCATTGACCTATGAACCAGGAGGTCATGGTTCGATTCCCGGTCAGGGCACATGCCCAGTTGTGGGCTCGATCCTGGTGTAGGGCGTTCAGGAGGCGGCCGATCCATGATTCTCTCTCATCATTGGTGTTTCTCCCTCCCTCCCTCCCTCTCTGAAACCAATAGAATAAATAAATATGCCAGATAGAATGTGTCCACATGCGTATATGTTCATGGTGAAGAAGCTCAAGTGAGTGAGGGTTTACAAAGTGGAGAGCGTGAGCCCTTCCCTCCTTCCCTTCGTCGTGCACGTGTCTGTCCCACGGGTCCCTCGGTGCCCGGTCTGGACTGCACCTGCCAGGCCAGCACCTGGGGCAGGGCAGGCCGACCCTGGGTGCTGCCGGGGCGGTGGCTGTGGGTGCAGGACGCCCTCTGAGGACCTCGAGCCCATTCTTGAAGGGACTTGCTTTGGACATCCCACTTCAGAGAGCTCTCCTGAGTCTTTATTCCGCGGACTGAGACCAGCGCTAGCTCTGGTACTGACGCTAACGCTAATTCTCACTCTCCCGCGACCTCCTCTGGCAGGGGCTGCGTCCGTCTGCCCTTCAGGCAGCCTCTTGGCCTGCTAAGCCCGCGCACCCTGTCTCAGTGGATGCCACATCTCACCGAGGAGTCACCCCGGAATTCTCGGGAAAGCTGACTTTTTGGTACTATTATAAATTGTTTCCGTCCCACGTGTTCATTGCTGCTATATAGGTATGCAATTGATTTTTTAATGTTTCTGTTGTTTTTAACTATATTTTTATTGATTTGGGGGAGGGAGAGAGAGATGGAAACATCAATGTTGATCATTGATTGGCTGCCTCCTTCCTGCACGCCCCCCATGGGGATCAAGCCTGCCACCCAGGTATGTGCCCTGACGGAGAATTGAACTAGGGACCTTTTGATTCCTGGGTGGATGCTCAACCACTGAGCCACACTGGCTGGGCTACAATTGATTTTTATATTTTGATTTTGCATCCTGCAACCTTAGTTCTAATAACTTTTTTGCCGATCCTGTCTGTTTTTCTATATAGATTATCATTTCATATATAAAGAAAGCTTTAGTTCTTCCTTTCCAATATGGATTCCTTTTATTTCTATTTCTTGCCTGATTGTACTAACCAGAACACTAGAATAGTGTGGTGAGAGCAGGCCTCTCGTCTTGGTGCTGATTGGAGGAAAACACTCGGTTTCATTGGTGAGAATGCTGCAGCAGGTTTTACAGGAGCACCTAACCACTGTCAGGACGTTCTCTTCAACTAACGATTGGCTGAGTTTTTATCTAGAAATTGGATTTTGTAAAAAAAAAAAATTGCATCTATTAAGATGATCATGTGGATTTTCTTCTTAAATTTGTTAATATAATGGATTTCACCAATAGATTTTCAAATGTTAAACCAACCCTGCATTCCTGGACTAAAGCTCATTTGGTCTTGATGTATGTATTGTGTGTGTGTGTGTGTGTATTGTGTGTGTGTGTGTGTTGTGTGTGTGTGTATGTATATAATATCATATATATCATATAAATGTTTATATATATAATTGGATTAGATTTGGTAAAAATTTTGTTTAGAATCTTTGCATCTGTTTTTTTAAAATATACTTTTATTGATTTCTGAGAGGAAGGGAGATAGAGAGATAGAAACATCAATGATGAGAGAGAATCATTGATCGGTTGCCTCCTGCAGGTCCCCCATGGGGATCGAGCCTGAAACCTGGAAACCTGGGCATGTGCCCTTGACTGGAATTGAACCTGGGACCCTTCAGTCCGCGGGCTGGTGCTCTATCCACTTAGCCAAACCAGCCAGGGCTCTTTGTATCTGTTTTAATGATGGATATCTTGGAGTAGTTTTCTTTTATTGTGTTGTTGTCTGGTCTTGGTACCAGGATAATGCTAACCTCAAATAATGAATTGAAAGTATTTCCTCCTCTTCAAGTTTCTGGAAGAATTCGTATAGAATTATTTTTTCCCCTCCTTATTAAAAGAATTCATTATTGAAGCCATCCGAGCCCGGAAGTTTCTTTATGGGAAACTATTTAATCACAAATTAAATTTCTTCAATAGAGATAGGGCTAATCAGGTTACCTATTTCTTCTTGAAAGAATTTGATAGTTTGTGTCCTTTAAGAAATTTATCCATTTCATCTAAAGTGTTAATTTATGGGTATAAAGTGGTTCGTAGCATTCCTTCATTCCCACATGTGTAGTGAGGTCGCCTCTCATTCCTGACACGGGTAATTTTGGTCTTCCCACGTTCCCCCATGATCAGGTTTTGGTTTCGTTGACTTTCTCTCCACTTTTTGTTTTTATTGATTTATGCTTTGATGTTTATCATTTCCTTTCTTCTGCTTACTTTGGGTTTAATTTGCTCTCCCTTTTATAGTTTCTTAAGGTAGAAACTGAATTTATTGATTTGAAGCCTTTTTTATATACAGCCACTCAGTGCAATGAACTTGTCCCCACGTACTTCTTTCTGGCATTCAGTAAATGCTGCATGTTGTATTTTCATTTGCATTCAGTTCAAAAAACAAGTGCCCTACAGGCAGCT